AGCTAACAAAATGTTTAAATAAAACCTTCCTGTTTTCAATACATACTTTATTTTACACCCCGTGATGTCATCCCTCGGACTCTCTGCTTCTCTGTGCAATGCAGGCAGATCATTGCTGGTGGGAAGGGCTGCCAGGATGTTGTGCATAGCTTCCTGAAAACATCACAGCACCCTGACTCAGTACTCCTCTCAGGAGTCTTTCACCCTGATGCAAGCGGTGGGCCTGATGCAAATATTGAGAGGCAGATGTCAGTCTGGAGGAGCTGGGAGCTGGCTGATGCCTGAGCCCTTCTCTGAAAACAGCTATCCTGAAAAATGCTTATTTTGATACTTAGTCATAAATAAAGCTGAAAATTTATGGCAATTTGGTCTACTGCTGTCCAACGACTTAGTGAGAATGCATTGAACCCGTGGATCTCAATGGGTGGGTCACAACACCGTATTCAGTGGGTCACACCGGGCCTTCCACTGCACTCCACTATCCAAGGGTGACACTGCTTACTCACTGTACTATATGGTGCTTTGGAGAAGCAATGTTGTCACCTCTACCTTCCCTCTTCTCTTTAAAGGAGAACTATGAGGGGAGTGCTTTTCACTCATCTCATAGTTCTAGCCGACCTGTGACAATGAGACCGTCACAGGTCGGCTTAGTAGATCGGGAAGTGAGCGAACACATACCAGCGTTCGCTCACTTCTCGATCCTGTCACAGCTCTCTGCTGTGACAGGGGAGGGGCTGGATTCCCCCCTCCCCGCTCCGATCCTCCAGCGCTGACTGGCGGAACGGACGGAGGAGGGGGGCGGGTACAGCTGGCTCTGACTCTAGATAGGCAGAGCCAGCTGTCAGTCACGCAGCTGGGCGAATCCAGACATAATTGTCGGGATTCGCTTCAGCTGCGGCGTCTCAGTATACCTCGAGCTACAGCTGAGCCTAGGGTGACGGGAGGACGCTAGTTTGTGTCCTCCCGTTACCCTAAGGAGAGCTATGGGGAAAAGCCTTAACCCCATAGTTCTCCTTTGATTTGGAGAGGTGGTGTTCTGTAGTCGTCAGAGATAGTGGGCAACAATGTAACTGATAACATTCAGCAGGGGCAGAGAGGCCAGGAAGTTATCAGATGATAAGATTTCTGGCATGATCAACAGATGTTTCCACTTTTTGAAGAGATGTAACAAAAGGCATTTTACTGGTAAATGTAACAGACTGAAAGGGAGCAAATAAGAGAAGCTCATTGTGAGAGTTTACTTACACGTTAAGAAGCTTGTATGTCCTGTCACTGCACACATTAAAGTGACACTAAACTCCGGAGTTAAACCTTAAAAATACGTTAAAGAACCTGAACTCTGAGCAACAATGTATCTTATTTGTGTATCCCTCAGCTGTAGATCCTCCAATCATCTCTGAATTCGTGCCGACACTGTCCTTCCTTCTGCAGGGGGGCTACGTCTGTTTCCTATGGTCCCTGTGTGTGTTGTAGAGTAGTCACTGCTCCAAGCTCCGCCCCCCCAGGATAGACTACAATCTCAATACAAATTGGTAAACTAAACATGAGATTGTAGTCCATCCCGGGAGTGAGCTTGGAGCGGTGACTACTCTACAACACACACAGGGACCATGGGGAACAGACGTAGCCCCCCCTCCAGAAGGAAGGACAGTGTCAGAGAGGATTGGAGGATCTACAGCCGAGTGATACACAAATAAGATACATTGTTGTTCAGAGTTCGGGGACTAATTCCTGAGTTTAGTGTCGCTTTAAGTTCCCGGGCTGTGAAAAAATATCTGATACAACGATACAAAAATGTAAACAGAACTATACAAGAATGATATTATTTTGCTGATTGTTGCTCTTGTAGAACATGTAAATGACTAATTTGCATATGCTCTGAACGCAGGCATTGTGTACTATGTCTAGGTGATGTGCGGAATAACAGATCTGTTCTGTCTGGCAGGTCCTCCTATCATCTCCAGCACTCAGACGCAGCACGCCCTGCATGGCGAGAAGGGACAAATCAAGTGTTTCATCCGCAGCACTCCTCCCCCGGATAGGATAGTAAGTATGAAGAATAACCAATTGTTTTATTCTGTGTGTACGTGCCGTAACAGGGAAGTGGCGAGGTCGCCATTAGCGATGAAATTGAAAGCAGGGATCTGACCAATCAGCTGCTCGCATTTCCTCTCAGACGTTTCTATTAATCAGAGCCTCAGGCAAATATTAATCATGACCTTAGATTTAGGCCCCGTTCACACCTTTCCGTTTTGTCGGGGGTTCAACGCTCTATGAACGCTCTACAAAACGTACAACCATGAAAATCCCATTGTTTTCTATGGGTATGGTTCACACCTTTCCGTATTTCCGCCCGTCTGAACGCCCTACAAAACGGCTGACGCCCAAACAAGTACATGTACTTCTTTGGGCCGTTTTGGAGGGGGTTTTCCATTGGGATACAGCCAAGTAGCCTTCGGGTAAAAAAAACGCGTGACGGTCGTGCGACAGACGTGCATGCGTAATACTCCTAGGTGTGAACCCAGCCTTAAGCGTTATGTGATGGGATTATATTCTGATTTCATCACTTGCTGTATAAAAGTTTGTGCAGTTGTTCAATAAAGCAGAGTTTGTTTACCCTACACTCAAGCCTTGGCTAGTGACTGGGGAAACTGGGAGCTACAGATCTTCAGGTTCCAATATCTCCTCAGCAAGGAAGAAGACAGCGGCGGACATACTCATCCTGAGTACGGGGGTCCGTCACAGAGACCATTGCCTACAATGCAATTTATATTTTTGACCGTTTTGTAGAGCGTTCGTCGAGCGTAGAATGCGCTACAAAACGGTCAGGTGTGAACGAGGGCTAAAAAAAATTTCTACCATTCACTTCTCTTGCTTTGTTCTGGCATGGTGAACGTCGCCTGCAAAGTCTGACGGCATTGACACTCATTCATCTTGCTGGCTCACTTTGCACTTTCTGGTACAGTGTTTGAGGACATATGGGAAAGACGAGCGACAGCGTTGTGAGATGATGAAACAGTCAGAGGCTGATGTGCCATTAATTCAGATTTTAATCTTTGAGAGAAAAAAAATATCATATTAGACGATAGCACAGTGTTCATTAGCACAGCGGTTCTACTCCAGCGTGGTCGCGTCATCCCCGCAGACACAGACTTAAAGGACATTTCATCATGAGCTATCTGTTCTCCTACCAACAGTGCAGACAATATACTCCATTGTATTCCAGTTACACTACTGACTAGCAACTACGTCACAGGCCAGCTATCCTTCCACCCCTGATGAAGGTGTCACACTCCCTAGAAATGCATTGGCATCTACATCACAGGCCAGCTATCCTTCCACCCCTGATGAAGGTGGCACACTCCCTAGAAATGCATTGGCATCTACATCACAGGCCAGCTATCCTTTCACCCCTGATGAAGGTGGCGCAATCCCTCGAAATGCATTGGCATCTACATCACAGGTCAGCTATCCTTCCATCCCTGATGAAGGTGGCACACTCCCTAGAAATGCATTGGCATCTACATCACAGGTCCGCTATCCTTCCACCCCTGATGAAGGTGGCACAATCCCTAGAAATGCATTGGCATCTACATCACAGGTCCGCTATCCTTCCATCCCTGATGAAGGTGGCAAAATCCCTCGAAATGCATTGGCATCTACATCACAGGTCAGCTATCCTTCCACGCCCGATGAAGGTGGCGCAATCCCTCGAAATGCATTGGCATCTACATCACAGGCCAGCTATCATTCCACCCCTGATGAAGGTGGCACAATCCCTCGAAATGCATTGGCATCTACATCACAGGTCAGCTATCCTTCCACCCCTGATGAAGGTGGCAGAATCCCTCGAAATGCATTGGCATCTACATCACAGGTCAGCTATCCTTCCACCCCTGATGAAGGTGGCACAATCCCTAGAAATGCATTGGCATCTACATCACAGGTCCGCTATCCTTCCATCCCTGATGAAGGTGGCAAAATCCCTCGAAATGCATTGGCATCTACATCACAGGTCAGCTATCCTTCCACCCCTGATGAAGGTGGCGCAATCCCTCGAAATGCATTGGCATCTACATCACAGGTCAGCTATCCTTCCATCCCTGATGAAGGTGGCACCCTCCCTAGAAATGCATTGGCATCTACATCACAGGTCCGCTATCCTTCCACCCCTGATGAAGGTGGCACAATCCCTAGAAATGCATTGGCATCTACATCACAGGTCCGCTATCCTTCCATCCCTGATGAAGGTGGCAAAATCCCTCGAAATGCATTGGCATCTACATCACAGGTCAGCTATCCTTCCACGCCCGATGAAGGTGGCACAATCCCTCGAAATGCATTGGCATCTACATCACAGGTCAGCTATCCTTCCACGCCCGATGAAGGTGGCGCAATCCCTCGAAATGCATTGGCATCTACATCACAGGCCAGCTATCATTCCATCCCTGATGAAGGTGGCACAATCCCTCGAAATGCATTAGCTTATCTTATGTTTTATGCAGAAAGTTGGTCGTTTAAGTGATACGTTTTATTGGCTAACTCAACTTATTAAGCATGCAAGCAACCTATTAAATCCCATCCTCACGCTTAAAAAATGGATGTTGTTGGAGCACTGGATCCAAAGGCAAATATAATCTGGTTTAATTCCCACCTTGAAGAGGCAGCCCTCTACACTACACGGTATCCCTTTGGGTCCCCAGAGCAGTCCAAAGAGAGTCAGAGTGACACCTGCACTGGCACTATGGGGCCGACATATAGCTAAGTGATGGCCATTTGCATAGCATTTCCTATGCTCCTCAGCACCATCTAGTGGCAGTCAGTAGTGTGGTGTGAACAGCATTTGCCCAGCTATAGGCTGGGTGAAAGATTTGTAAATCAGTAGAAACAGGGACACCGGCATTCCAAATGCAGTTCAAACACGTCTATTTATTGTTTTGGCCTGAGGAAGGGCATCCTGCGAGACCCCCGAAGCGTTGCACCAGTGTGATATGCTGCATCTACATTAATAAATAGACGCATTTGGAGTGCCAGTGTCCCTGTTTCTACTTACGCATATAACGGTTGCAATCCGTTGACTACCGCAGCACCCATCCTGATTTTTTTGGAACGAGCGGTCAGGAGTGCGATGGTCCTCTTCTAGTGATTGACAGCAGAAAGAGGGCGGGTGCAATAGCCAGCTTGCTATTGGATATTGCAAATTGAAATAGCCAATGGCAATCTAGCTATTCATTCCTATGCTGTTTTTTTTTTTACTCTGACTGACAGCAGCTCCCAGAATACTAAAAAAATAAAACCAGAGCAGAAGATAGCAAAGAAGCTATTGCTTCCCGTGCTATCTGCCATCATTTCAGCGGGTGCAGAGGGTGCCTCCCTGAAATGAGAAGGGCACTCCAATAGATTGGGATCCCTGTTGTACGTGAATAAGCCCCAACAGCACCCCTGTCAGCAGGGAAATGTAATAGGGGGTTCTAATCCTTTTCCACTCTATTCAAAACTAAAAAAAAAAAAAAAATCGGGGTGTACGTACACTTTAAGCAAATGTCGCTTTCCTTTGGAAAGGTCACATGGGGAATCCTTTTACCACTTATAGCACCCACTTACCGAGCTACTAAAATCAGAAGAGACTCTCCTAACATCAGCCGAGAGCCGTCCCGCATTCCCACACGTCCTACGTGTACACAGAGCACACGGGCATTGTCTGCAGCACTACTCCTTCAGAGTTTGTCTTCCCGTCAGAGCTTCAGCATCTTCACAGTGCTTTGCGCGCATTCCAAAAATAAAACCAGGACATCTTTGATCTTCCTTGCTATCAATTTCAGAGCCCGCAGGCTGGCAGATAGCTGAGGGGGGAGAAAGCTCTTTGTGTAAGCTATTTTTACTGCCTCCTCCTCCTCCCACCTACACGCAAAAAGAAGCCACAGGAACTGGCAGAGCCGAGCATGTGCTGCGCGCCGCTAGACGTACAAACTCTTATGAACTGATTAATACGGATAACGATAACATGAGAAGTAATTACATTATGTACAGAGCCAGCCGTCAACCTTTAGGGCATTTATTAATCCTGGTGGTCACAGTGGGCCACAGATTCAGAGCGTTTGGGAGGTGGGGGGTGGTGTTTGCTGAGTGGAGATCAGTCATTGTGTACTGGAGGTGGACAGGTAAACATGTTTATTGTCGATCGTAAACGTAAACAACAAGTTTTAGAATACAGATCTCATCCAGTCTCTTGATCTCACTGACTATGTGCGTCTCAGTAAAAGATGTTTGTGTCCTCCCGTTACCCCAAGGAGAACTATGGGGAAAAGCCCTGACCCCATAGTTCTCCTTTAAGCAAAGAGTTGCTAATTCATAAATCCCCGTGCATATAACTAAACACACAGATTATATACATAGAAGGGAGCTGTTTTACCTGCCAAAGAATCTGTATTTCTGTTCATCCAGTTCTGAGTTTTATACAGCTGTGCCACACTTCCCAGCCCTGTTTGGCAGAGCAGGTGAACTGTTATAACCTCTGCTGACACTTCCAGGTTTTGTCCCTCCCCCAGCCTGTGATTGGACACTAAAAGGAGAAGCAGCAGACTGATAAGTTCACCTCCCACTCTTCTCCCTTCAGCATGCTATTTGTTAGCACTGCAGCACACCTGATTGGCTCCTTGTGCTGATTCTCCCTCTCCCACCCTGCCGTTAAGACGTTCTGCACTTGTCCTGTAAGGACTTGTTCCTTAACAATTTACCAGCCACAGTCTGTATATAAATGTTACCTAGAATGACACCCAGTGGATAGGTTTGTAAACGTAGTTTACCAGTTGGTGGCTCCCAATCCAAGCTGTCACTGGTAAATGATGGTCGGGAACCAATTAGAGTATTTACCGATAGTGTGACCACCGTGTTAACTATATCTTAGCTATCACATGCAGGCTGAAGGCTTCATTTACATATAAAGCCCTCCAGCCTGCATGATCACTGCCACCATCACACTGTAGTTGTTTCTGGAAAGCAATCTGTTTAATAATGTTATTGTCAAATACAATTACAGCGTTAAAAAACATTATGATAGCAAATCTATAAAAAAAAAAAAGATTTTGTGCATTTGCCCGCCTGTAATAAAAAAAACAGAGCAGGGTTTTTAATACAACAGTGTACTAATAAAAGTCTGCCTAAAAAAAACATTACATATATTTAGATATGCAAATTAGTCAACAGACTTATGCTGATGCTGCTAGATTTGGCGTGGGCAATTAGGCATCAATGATCTCCAGTCAAGAAATGGTTAACATTTGTGACTGTGAAGGCAAAAAAAAAAAAAATCTTTAATCAAAGAAAGAAGTTAAGATGTCGCTTTAAAGCTGGTTTATTTCACAATCTCCAAATTCATATCACACTCTTTATAGGCAGACACTTAAAAATAATGATCACAATTATCAGCGTTCTGTTTAGTGCAGTGCATACGGCAACGATGTACAGTCACCTACAGCAACCTCACTTCAGTTTTCATCGATTTAAAGTGAAACTTCAGCCAAAACTTTGGGGAGTTTTTTTTTCTAACAAGGCTGAGAACCCGTGTCAGGACATAAAGTGCTGGGAAATCCAACAAAATATTGGAAGAGAGGAAACATCTTTCAATGGAAACACACTTGTCCCAGTGAACATTGTCCAATTTGGGATTTCCTTTCATTCTACTTTGCCTTAATAAAGCATTGTTAAATAACATGTGGGCTGGAGCCCAAGGATGAAACATGTTGTTGGAGAATGGCTTTTATTTTGCCCTTGGTATGACATCTTGGTATGTGCACACTGTGTGAATACTTTTTGATATCAGAACTGTTCACATTTAGCTGAATAGAGAACTTTAAAGGAGAACTATGGGGGTCAGTGTTTTTCTCCATAGTTCTCCTAAGGGTAACGGGAGGACACAAACTCGCGTCCTCCCGTCACTCAAAGCTCAGTATATAGGGAGCTACAGCTCGCGGTATTCTGGATCCACCCAGCTGCGTGATTGACAGCTGGCTCTGCCTATCTAGAGGCAGAGCCAGCTGTACCCGCCCCCTACCCCGTCCTTTCCGCCAGTCAGCGCTGGAGGATCGGAGCGGAGAAGGGGGGTGGGGAATCCCTGCAGGGAGCCGTGAGTGACAGTCACCACCCTCTGCAGGGACATGATCGAGAAGTGAGCGAGCGACGGTATGTGTTCGCTCACTTCCCGATCTTTTGAGCCGACCTGTGACAGTTTCATTGTCACACGTCGGCTCGAACTGTGAGGCGGAGTGATTTTCACTCACCTCATAGTTCTCCTTTAAAGCTGGTTTACTTCACAATCTCCAAATTCATATCACACTCTTTATAGGCAGACACTTAAACATAATTATCACAAATATCAGCTTTCTGTTTAGTGCAGTACATTCGACAATGATGTACAGTCACCTACAGCAACCTCACTTCAGTTTTTGTCTATTGAAAGTGAAACTCCAGCCAAAAGGCTGAGAACCCGTGTCAGGACATAAAGTGCTGGGAAATCCAACTCATTATCGGAAGAGAGGGCACTTGTTCCAGTGAACATTGTCCAATTTGGGATTTCCTTTCATTCTACTTTGCCGTAATAAAACATTGTTAAATAACTGTTGGGTAGAGCGGTATTGTGTGTAAGGGCTAGCATGTGGGCTGGAACCCAAAGAGGAAACATGTTGTTGGAGAATGGCTATTATTTTGGCTTTTGGTATGACATCTTGGTATGTGCACACTGGAAGAATACTTCTTGATATCAGAACTGCTCACATTTACCTCAATAGAGAACTTGAAAGGAGAGTTAAAGGAGAACTATGAGGGGGGGGGAGGGGGGTGCTTTTCACTCCCCTCATAGTACTAGCCGACCTGTGACAATGAGACTGTCACAGGTCAGCTCAGTAGATCGGGAGGTGAGGGAACACATACTGGCCTTCGCTCACCTCTCGATCCTGTCACGGCTCTCTGCCGTGACAGGGGAGGGGCTGGATTCCCCCCTCCCCACTCCGATCCGCCAGCGCTGACTGGCGGAACGGACGGGGGAGGGGGCGGGTACAGCTGGCTCTGTCTCTAGATAGGCAGAGCCAGCTGTCAGTCACGCAGCTGGGCGGATCCCGGCATAATTGTCGGGATCAGCTTCAGCTGCGGCGTCTTAGTATACCGCGAGCTGTAGCTCCCTATATACTGAGCCTAGGGTGACGGGAGGACGCTAATTTGTGTCCTCCCGTTACCCTAAGGAGAACTATGGGGAAAAGACTTAACCCCATAGTTCTCCTTTAATGAAGCCCTTCGATAATTACCCTAATTCCCTTATAACCCTAGACCAAAACGAGCCCTTAACCCTTGCAATGCAGCGGTAGCCCCACTGCATGGGTTAATTTAACCCCTTCATGACTGAGGCCCTTTTTTCCATTTTTGCACCCATGTTATATTCCACATTTTAGGCCTGAAAATGACGTAAAACCCCCCAACATTATATATTTTCTGAATGCCAAGACCCTATAGAATAAAATGGTGGTTTTTTTGCCAGGATCGCTTCTGTTGTAAAGCCGACAGTCGGCTCTACAAGTTCAAACAGAGTCCCGGCGGCAAAAGTCACCGGGAGTCTGTTTAAACAGCCCCGATGCTGGCGACGTACACTGTACGTCGTCAGTCACGAAGGGGTTAAACAAAGCAGGAGTTTATCTTTACATTAGAGCTCCCAGTTAGTCCCATTGACCCAAGTCCTCACTAGAATAGACTCTTTGATGATTATGGAAGTTTTTCACATTGTCCGTGACTCTATACAACATTTTCATATAAAATGGGATGCTTGGTCCTCATATTGATCAATCCCATATGTTTTGAGCCTTCCTATCATCCCACACAGACATATTTTTAAAGGAGAACTATGAAGGGGGGGTGCTTTTCACTCACCTCATAGTTCTAGCCGACCTGTGACAATGAGACTGTCACAGGTCGGCTCAGTAGATCGGGAGGTGAGCGAACACATACCGGCGTTCGCTCACCTCTCGATCCTGTCACGGCTCTCTGCCGTGACAGGGGAGGGACTGGATTCCCCCCTCCCCGCTCCGATCCGCCAGCGCTGACTGGCGGAACGGACGGGGGAGGGGGCGGGTACAGCAGAGCCAGCTGTCAGTCACGCAGCTGTGCGGATGCCGGGACACAATTGTCGGGATCCGCTTCAGCTGCAGCGTCTCAATTTACCGCGAGTAGCAGCTCACGGTATACTGCAGCGTCTCAGTATACGGCGAGCTGTAGCTCCCTATATACTGAGCTTTGGGTTACGGGACGACGCTAGTTTATGTCCTCCCGTTACCCTAAGGAGATCTATGGGGAAAAGCCTTAACTCTATATTTCTCCTTTAATACAGGCAGCCCCAGAGTTACAAACATCCGACTTACATTCGACCCCTACTTACAAACAGAGGCTATCACTGTACAGCACAGGGTCCCAGGCTGCAGCCAAAGTGTACTGTGCAGCATTTCAGTCATCGTTATGCCACTGCGTTAGTGCTGACGAGGAGCGCCGCCTTTTTGGGTCTGGTTCGTAGTACTGTATGTACATTACAGGAAGTTGGCTCTTGTTAGATGTGGAGACGAGGGGTGCCCGCCTCTTCTTCCGGGTCACTGTGAGGTTTTTACTGTCTGTCTGTATCCTCATTAGGAAGATTGAATCTCACTTCCTGTCCTTGAGACAACAGGAAGTGAGAGGAAATCTACCCCTAAGAAGAGAAATTCACTCCTGTAAGAGTGATCATGGGGAAAAAGACGTCTCCACTGAAAGCTTTATCACCAATCCTTGTTTCCCATCTTCAAAATCCAATTGTCACAAGGACAGAAAGTGAGTTGAAATCTTCTGAACAGGGGGACACACAGCACAACAAATGTTACAAGGGGGTTATCCCTTCCCTATGCTATTCAAAACTAAAAGATTTTTTTTGGGCTGGAGTTACACTTAAAAAATTTACCTGTTCCAACTTACATACAAATTCAACTTAGGAACAGACATATATTTAAAGGTTCTACAGAACCTATGTTGTTTGTAACCCAGGGACCGCCTGTACATTTTGTATAATAAATGACTGCCAGCCTTTCTTCCACCCATGTTACCAACCAGGGGCGTAACTAGAAATCACAGGGCCCCATAGCAAAATTTTGTATGGGGCCCCGTGATTGCTAGTTATGCCACTTGCAGAGCCCCAGCGGAGAGTGACCCTGCAGAGCCCACCTTAGACTCTCTATAGTGGGCTCTGCAGGGTCTGAGATCTCTTACCTGTCAGCGCCTCTGTTGTCGCCAGGCCCCGACTCCTGTTCCGTCACCGGGCCCCGCCTCCTCTGCTATCGACGGGCCCCGACCTTCTCTTACATCACTGGCCCCACCTGCTCTTAGGTCGCTGGCCAGTGATGTAAGAGAAGGCGGGCCCCGCCTCCTCCATTCCGAACACCGCCCTCATCTGCCGCAGCGGCTGGCTGTCACTGACACAGCTCCGCAGCGGCTATGAGGGGAAATGTGCCGTGGCCGCTGCTGAGCTGTGTCTGTGACAGCCAGCACCCCCACATGCCATAGCGACCCAGGCGGCCCTGGCTGGGCCCCCCTGTGCCCGGGCCCCATAGCGGCCGCCTGGGTCGCTATGGCGATTGTTACGCCACTGTTACCAACTGTATTGTTTGCACTTTGTCTGTTTGATCCGAGCATGACATGTATGCAATCCAATATTTTAGATGCTCTTTTGCATCACCATGCTCGGCTTCTACAATTTTATAAAAACTAATAAAAGTAATTTTGTAAATAGTAAACAAAAACAAAACTACTCGTTAGTCGGGTTGGATTTCTAAGTCTAGTTTGAGTTGTCCTGAAGTCTTCCCTCTCCCCTTACCCTAGGCCTGGTCCTGGAAGGAAAATGTCCTGGAATCAGGAACGTCGGGTCGATACACGGTGGAAACGGTCAGCACAGACGAAGGCGTCATCTCCACCCTGACCATCAGCAACATCGTGCGGGCCGACTTCCAAACCATATACAACTGCACGGCCTGGAACAGCTTCGGCTCAGACACGGAGATCATCAGACTCAAAGAACAAGGTGAGGGGCATCTGATGCATAGGTGATAGAATATGCATTCTGAATGTACTGCATTTTGTATATATATATGTGTGTATACACTTTTTTAGGTGCTTTTTTTTTTGCCACATCAGACAACCATTTCATAAAAGTATATAATATAATATATTCTGAATCTGTCATGAACCATTTTTCATGCATCTCCCTGCTGAGTAGTTTTCCCTTCTTCCTTTGTAATTCCCCTTTTCTGTTATGGCGTATAAGTCACTGATAAGACATTCAAGGGTTTTAATATCCACCTCATGTTAAACGGTGACTGATGCTTTTGATCGCAGTCACTTGGGATAAGATTTAAATAGATGTTTTCTGGTTGTAAAGGGCATCATTTGATGTGATATAAATCCCCTTTTACTCTCCAAATCCACCTCATCATGAGCAGTGATCAGCATTTAACACGCAGCTATTACATAGAATACGATAACCGAAGAAGCGGGAGATGAGACAGCCCAACGGCAAACACATTGTAGGATTTCAGTTTAATACAAGAAGTGTGTATCACTGGTTTTAGAATAGTTAGTTAAATACATTATATAGATATACTGTATGTCTAAGGACACCTGACCATCACACCCTATATGAGCTTGTTGGACATTCCATAACTATGGCCATTAATATGGAGTGACCCCTTTTGGCTTTAATATCCTCCACTCTTCTGCGAAGGCTTCCCTCAAGATTTCGGGGTGTACATGTGGGAATTTGTGCCCCTTTAGCCAAAAGAGCATTTGTGAGGTCATGTATTGATGATGGAGAAGAGGACCTGGCTTGCAATAGACATTTCACATTGTAAAGGGGTCAGTGCTCTGAGCAGGCCACTTGAATTCCTAGACCAAACCATGTCTTTATGGTTATTTGGCTATGTGCACAAAGGCACTGTCATGCTGAAACAGACACGGTTGGAAGCGCACAATAGTCTAAAACCTTGGTTCTCAACTGGTGGGTCATGACCCAAAAGTGGGTCGTGACTCTGTGTTCAGTGGGTCGCCACGTGCTTTCCTCTTTTCTAGGTGAGAGACTCCTCTGCCTCCCCTATGGCAGCACTGTCAGTGTATGCTTCAGAATATGCTGCCCGGCGCCGAGTGTCAGCTTGAGGTGGGATGGGGGAATGGCCGCGAGGGAGCTCTATCCATACGTGCATTGCTTACAGCTCCCTCACATGTCCTGTAGAGGTGTCTGGACTGAAGTGACGTCACATTCTGGCTCCCGGCACCTCTACAGGGCGTGCAAGGGAGCTGTACAAGTGGATGGAGCTCCGTCACAGGGCAGCAGCCCACACTAGACCCTAGACCCCCACACTAGACTAGGTTAGGAGATTGGGTGGACCTTAAAAAAAGTGTGTGAGATTGGGCCTGGTGTATGCATGTCAGTGTTTTTGAGGGCCCATTCACAGTAGTACAGTACGGTAAACTGTACCAGGCAATTCTGGTGCGGGAGGTGTGTTGCGTTGCCATTCATTTGCACCGGAACGCGCGGTACCCTAATGCTGTGCGTTCCATTGCAGTGCGACTTGGGTCACGACTTCATGACCGAGGACAAATGTGGGTCCTGAGGTTACACAGGTTGAGAACCACTGGTCTAAAATGTTTGTGTATGCTGTAGCATTACCAGTACCCGTCACTGGAAACACCTGAACTCAATTATTTAGAGTGGGGTCCACATTCTGTTGGTCATATAGGTTGGTATGATGGTTAGGTGTCCACAAACCTTTGGCCATATAGTGCATTCTGACTTCAGCCATGCCAGTTATACTGCAGTTTCAGCTAGCAACTTGGGTGGGTCACTCCCTTCAAACTCCAAAATCGATCTGCTTTACTCGCCACTCACTCTCAAATAATTTAACATGCACTGCAACGATTAGGATCATTCTTGCATGAAACATGTTAGAGGGAGGAGATGACCAGCCTGTCAGTTAAATAGAGTTGAGCTTTTGTTTGATTATGTTTGTATAGAATCTGTAAAGACGTCAATAAAGATTTGACTGAATGTAAAAAAGGACTGCAGGACGTTTTAGTAATAAAATGACAGCCAGGTCTTACGTGGACCTGTACCAAAATATTAACATATTAGCAAAAACCATGTTTAGGAACAATCTTTCTAAAAATCGTACCTTTCCTGGAGAAAAAGTTGTTTCGGGCTCCCTGTATGAGTGATGCTCATATAAGCACAAGCCCGGTGCCTAGCCTTGGTCAGGTGATCACTGTAAAAATAGAAGGATGAAAGTTCCAGTTAGCTTTGTATATCCATGTTAGCAACTCAGTGAACATAGCTTGACACTTTAATACAGGTTGACTTTAGTAAGTGAAAAGTCCCATGGAGGGGACCACAAAAAAACAAAAAACAACAACTAGAATGACACGGCGGTCATAATAACACAGGAAAAGTTAGAAATTCACCTTTAGTCAGTCATGTGCTACCACCAAAACTTTGTCCAAGTGCCACCTATAAAATGTATATACAAAGTGTCACTACCAACCTGAAGTATGTCCGCTGCTGCCACACCATGCACACCTAGAGGTGTATTTATAACCAGTTCACATAGCCATCCTTCCTGGGAAACCCTGTGAACATTTGTTCTGTGTGAATGAAGGCAAAAATGAATGTTCTTAGTATCTGTTCTGTTCGGAAGACGAATGCCGAACGGGCCGGTGTGCGCAAGCGCACACTGCCCGCTCAGCACTGCAATCATTGGAAACGCCCTCTCCTCAGCGGGGAGGGCTTGCGATGATCGCAAAGTACGATCTGCCTGTCCAAGATGGGCAGATCGTACGTTTTTTTAATTACCTTACAACCATCACAAGACTAAAGTGGTTGTAAAGTGTATGGCCAGCTTGACACTGCTCAGTTTGACTGCCACGGGCCTAATTGGAGAACCCTGTGTAGGCTCAGCATTGGTCTGATCTACCAGCGCTGCAAGGTCACACTGCTTACCAGTAAACCTCTAAAGCAGCCTTCTGCCTTGTGCAGTGCGGGAGAGTGCAAGGGACAATGCGATTGCTTGCAATAGGCAATGAGAACACGAGAATTGTTTTTCTCTAGGTGCTTTTATGCACTTCACAGATACATGTCCTGGTACATTTTACTGACTGATCACATATAGCCGGAGCCATAAACAATCTGCATTATGTGTAAAAGCTTTTTATGATTTCCCCCCAACCCAAACCTGTCGTGATTTGCATATCCGCACAGAAATTTGGGCATCTGACATTAACTTTGATGTGCAGCTTGTTGTTCTATGCTAGCTGCCAAAAGCGAGGCACCAAACTGTCAGTCACTAGAATTGTTTTTATGGGAGTGCTCGACAGGAAGCCAGCTCCATCCTGGAAAATATCCCCTCACCCCACTAGAACGTCTTCGTTTTAAATAAGTGCCGTTCTGATTATTGGAAAGTTCTACACGGCAGCAGAATGCAGCGAAAAGCTCTTTTACATAAACCAATTTGCAAGTTCTGCTTAGTGGCCCTTTGAAGACATGGCACTGACAAAATGTGCTGTAAAATAAAAGCCGTCAACTGTCACAAGGACGACTGAAGAATTCCTGCCGGGAACCTCTCTGGGATTAGACACATATATATATAT